TAGATGATTCTTATGGGAAAGACTCCAGTGAATTAATTAGATACAGGATTCATCTAACAGCTCCAATTTCATAATTTTGACAGCTGTAGAATATGCAGTGAACTGATGCTTAGACATTTTATTGAATAGTCGCAGGCTTTCAAAAATCAGCTTAGCAGGTGCTCTTTTTAAAACTGTAATTAATGACTGCAGGAGTTTTCTGAGACAGTCCTGGTAGCTTCCTGTGAGGTTTTCATACCTATTTTTATCACTCTACTGAGAAAGACACAGACCATCCCAGGACTCTGCACACAGGACCTTCTCACCATCATCTTTTCCCATTTAGCTTTGTTCTCCAGGACAAGGCATTGTGGAGAAGAAAAGAATGTTAGAGGCCAGTTCCCTGGGTCCAGTGTTCACCAACATACCCAAATCAGTTGTAAATCAACGTAAAGTGTGGCCCTAACCACTTTACATTGAAACAAAGTAAATGACTTTACACAAGATGTAAATAGAAACACACTGTCCAATAAAGCTGCCATTACCCATTGAGGCAATGAAAGCCCAGGGTGGCCTAATTGGAATGGCAATGTACTACAATTTTGAATATGTCCCTTGATTTCATGGTAAGTAAAAAAATAAAAAGACAGAAAAGAAAAAGTCATATGAATAATTGCTATGTTTCTTACATGTTATATATACCATGAGGTTGAATAAAATTATTTCAACTTTTATTTCATTATTTTTTAATATAGTAGAAAAATTTTAAATGTATATGTTGCTAGAATTTACATTTCTATTAGATAACTAGTTTAAAACAATACATTAGAGTGGATTCACATTACTCAAATTTCTTAAGCCCTAGGGAAAAGGTTAGTCTAGAGTAAATCATTAGGGTAGGGTTATGAACAGCCACAGGAAGGGAGCTGCCAACAAAGGTTGTGCTTCGGTTTCTGGAGTCTGTGTGGTACCTGTGGCTTTGCAGATAGCTAAATGTGTGTCTCTCAGAAGGTGTTTTATCTATCAGACTCTCCACCTCTTCCCTTTTAAACAGATGTTATCCTAGCCCTTCCTAACCCATAGTTGTTTTTTTATATAACTGAAAGCCTTAGCTAGTGTGTATTAATGCCCCACCACACAATACTAATGTAGGTTATTTACAAATGTAAAGGCTGTATTAGTTAAGTTTCTACTGCTGTGAAAGAGACCATGACTAAAAGCAACTTGGGGAGGAAAGGGCTTATTTCAGCTTCAGTTCAGAGTCTATCTGGAAGTTGGAGGTCAAGGTAGGAATTCAAGGCAGGAATCTGGAAGCAGAAACTAAGCAGAGACCATGGAGGAATGCTGCTGACTGGCTTGCTCCCTATGGCTTGATTAGCCTGTTTTCTTAGATAATCTAGGAACAACAGTCCATGGGTGGTACCACCCACAGAGGGCTGGGTACTCCCATATCAATCATTAATAGAGAAAAATGCACTACAGACTTGCCTATAGGCAATCTGATAGAAGCAGTTCCTTGGCTGAGATTCCCTCTTCCCTGATATGTCTAGGCTTGTGTCAAGTTGCCATGTAGAGACTTGGGATTGCTACCTAGGTAACTGAAAAGCTGTCTCACTTCTTCAATTTATCCTTCTCAGATCTGATGATGTTTGATGACTAGGGTATCAGTTTAACAGCCCCATGTTGGGCGCCAATTATGAATTATTGTGTGTGGGTGGGAGACCCCCAAGGGTATCCCTCACGTGCAGGGAAACATGCTGGGCATGGCAACGGAAGCAGCGGTGGTGGCCAGTAATTCACAACCCAGATGCTGCATCTATATGGAGAATTTATTATAATAGAGAGATGATAGGAAAGAGAGGGACAGAGAAAGAGAGAGGAGAAGAGAGAGAGAAAGAGAGGTCGAGGGTGCATACCTTGTGGGAGGAAAAGTGGAAGAGAGAGAGGAAAGGGAGGTGTTTTTCCTTAGAATGAGGCTTTTACATCAGGATGCAGGGCAGCGTCAAGGGATGGGATTTCAAGGGGCAGATCAGAATATTAACAGGAACATTGAATTAATAATTGGACTTTGCATCAGACAACTATTACTATGAAACAAATTACTGCAAACAGTGCTTTAAAATTGCAAGTGTTTATCACTTTGCATAGTTTCTGTGGGCTGGGAATCCTGGAATGACTTAGCCAGGTGAGATTGCCTCTGTCTTTCAGGACACTGCAGTCAAGATGTTAGCCAGTGCCAAAGTCATTTGAAGCCTTATCTGCAGCTGAAGGACCCTCTCTCAGAAGGGTTCACTCACATCTGTTCTGTCCTCCCTGGATCTACCCATATGGCTACTTGAGTATCTTTACAGCATAACAAAACAAGGAGGAAGTCAAACTGAATGGGCTATGCTGTTGTTTCTACTTTGCTTCATTCATTAGGAGCAAGTTACAAAATCCAGCTCAGCCTGAAGGGAAAAGAGAGGAGAGGTAGTAAGTTCCATTCAAAAAACAAACCACCTAGACATGAGTACACACTTTACTATGCACACTTACTACCTTCAAGACAAAATGAACAGAACACCAAATTCATTCCGTAAGGGACTGAGATCCAAGCCTTGCTGTGCCCCTAGGGAGAAAACTTTGATCTTGCTTGAGTCTGAAAAATAGACTCCACTTGCACTCCATACTTGTTAGAACTAACAGTTGTGGTCTTTATTCTTTTGTGAACCATAATTCTTTGTGGGGTATAGCAGGCTATCCTCAAGGAATTCTAACTCAGCTTCTCTTTTCCCCAAGTACAGGGACTGGCAAAAGCTAGGGTTGCAGGAACAGGCAAAAGTCAGAAGCAATGGTGCTGTAAAAGCCAGCAGGGCCAGGGAACAAGTCTTGAAGGGCTGTTGTTGCCTGGGAGGCTTTATCTACCACATCTATCACAGCTCATTCTCCTCACCCTCAGCTCTGTTCTTGTGAGTGTGTGTGTGTGTGTGTGTGTGTGTGTGTGTGTGTGTGTATCCCTGAGGTTTTTAAAGAGTGGAGGTTCCTTCAGATTGAAGGATGCATGCTGAGATTCTGGCCTTTCTTATCCATAGCTCTTTGGTCTCAAGGAAACCTTTCTGGCTAATGAACACTGATCCAGGGAGTCTTCATGTTATTCAAACCTGTCCTTTAGGTTCTGTCTTTTCTTGCAGGTAGGTGAAGTTACTCACAGGCTGTTTGTAGATGGCTTGCCAGTTGGATGTCTTTTTCCACTCCAGTGGCCTTTTGACAGGTTTGGCATCTCCCGGAAAGGAAGCCTGTGGTCTAATGACCCAGCCCACTCTGTTACAGGTAACAGGAGGTGAGTATGGCTGGTTATTTCTCCCCATATCGCAGGGACACATAAATAAAAGAATAGGAACAACTTGAAGGAAACGGCTTTTACATGTTCTTTTATGAGAACAAAGATAAGACAAATAGAAATCAACAGACTGTTAACATCTGCTTTAAATATTTCAAGCTCAAAACTGATCATAGAATGGCTTTATACATCTGAAGAAATATTCAGAGTTGAATTTTACTATGTTAGGAATTGGGTGTGCATTTACCCTCTTTTTTTGGTGGGGAGGGTTTCAAGACAGGGTTTCTCTGTATAGAAAAATAGACTGTCCCGGAACTCACTCTGCTAGATCAGGCTGGCCTCAAACTCAGAGATCCTCTTGTCTGTCTCCACCCAACAGCATGGGCATGGAAGTCAGGGGACAATTTGTGTGACTTGATCCTCTTCTTCCACCGTGTGCGTCCTGAGGACAGCACTCAGGTCCTCAGGCGTGGTGGCAAGCGTCTTCACCTGCAGAACCATCTCACTGGCCCCAGCATTCATTTTGATCACATTGACCCTCCATCCCTCCTGCCCTCTTTCTGCTACCATTTAAACATTTTAGTTAATTCTATTTGTTTCTTTTTTTTTCCTTCTATTTTTCTATAAACAGCCATTCGGCTTACTATTTCAGTATTGAGACAGCCCCAAGCCTCCACCCCAAGCTCAGTCCAGACAGACTCAAAACCAAGCAGAACTAGAGAACCGGCCTCGCCACCTGCTGGCCTCCCTGCCTCATGCAGCCCTTCCCAGTGCCTCGCTGACCCAGATTTCACAGTTCCCATGATGCACCTGGCTGGCCAGCTCAGCCTCAGTCCCTTTGCGTGAGCTGGGCAGCGTGGGGCACCTCGCCCGCCCAACATTTTCTCTCCTGATTCCAGATCACCTCCTTCAGGCTAGGCGGAGTCATCCCCGGGGCTCTCCTAGCCCCTCCCCCCGGGGTTTTCATCTCTCCTGATTACATCCTTATCTGGGGATGGGTTCTGCGGTGGTGGGGTGGTGACGCATGGAAGACTGAAGGCAGGGGGCACCCTTCTTAGGCCACATTAGGTCTGGATTGAGAGGATGAATACTTTTGGGGAAAACAAAATAAAACTATGCACAGGCTGACAAGATGGCTCAAATGATGAAGGGGCTTCCGGCCAGCCTGATGACCTGAGTTCGATCCCTGAGACCCAACAGGGTGGAGGGAGGAACCCACCTCCCCCCCCCACACACAATAAATAAATGCTAAAAGAAAAAGTAAATAGAGTGAACCCACCACGGATAAAACATCTCTGCTACTCCCTGACTCCCCTGGGTTCCCGAACTTCAGTCTCCCCCATCCTGGCTTCTGGGAGAGGTAGTAGAGGTAGGATTGCTCAACCAGAGGCCGCCTTGCTGTTTCCGGTCGCCAGCCAGGCTGAGTGGGAAGAGAATGGGGGCCAGGGAGGAGGTTACCCCTGGAAGACTGGTCCAACCAGAGTGAGCCCTTCAGCTCAGGGCATGGGCGGAGACTCATGGAAGGAGTCATCTCAGCTCAAGGAGGCTGGCAGACTCTGAGAGGGGAGTCTGGGGCTCCAGGGCCTCACAGCCTGGTGTGTCCTGAGGCACCCACCTGGATGCCTCACTGAACTTCACTCTCCAGAGAGCCAGACCCCACCCTGTGGTTCTCCATGACTTTGACATCTGTACAGGAAACAAGATGGAGATTCCTACCCAGACGCAGGGCTGCTTCTCAAAGGGTCTCCTGTTCTCAGGTAAGGAGGAAAAAAACTCGGAGGGCCGAGGGGCAAGAAGGGACAGGACAGCAGAATCACATCTCCATCCATATTTCATCTAGAATGTCAGCACTATGAGGGTAGGAATTTATGTTTGCTTTCCTTGCTGTGTTCTGGGAAGGGAGGTACGGGACTAGAGACAGAGCCTGACCCAACTGGTGAGTCAGTCACGCCTAGAATCCCAGCGTTTGGAAGGTAGAAGGACATCCTGAAATACAATGTCAGTTCAAGGCTAGCCTGGTCTACTTGAGACCTTGTCTCCAATAAAAATCTATGGAAGAGCCAGGCATGATGGTGTATATCTGGAACGGCAGCACTTTGGAGGCTGAGACCGGAGGATCACAAGTTGGAGCTAGAACTACACAGTGAGTTCCAGGCTAACCTAGGCTATATAGTGCAATCTTGACCCCAAAATATAAACACACACACACACACACACACACCACACACACACACACACGCACGCACACCCTACGGAATTTTAGGCTTATGATGTAACTAGCATGATAACTAATAAAATAGATATGCCTTTAAATATTGGTTGAATGAGTGAATTCAGAGGGTCTTAGTGTTTACGAACAGACCACAAAGCATCTGGGGCGGGGGGGGGGGGTGGCAGTTCTGTGACATTTGTGCCTGTATTCCTATTCCTGTACCCAGGGCAGACATCACTAATCAATCTCATCATTGATTCCGATGTTCAGTCTTCAGAGTCCTTGCTTCCAGTTGAGAGTCTGTAGAGAGGAGGGTTTTCTTTTCTCCCTCCGGACTCAGGCCTTCTCCATACCTTCCCCACAGCCTTGATCCTGGCTCTCTGGCTGCCCCAAGGTTCCCAGGCAGCCCTCCACATCCAGAAGATCCCAGAGCAGCCTCAAAAGAGCCAGGACCTTCTCCTGTCCCTTCATGGTGTTCCCCAGCACCGTCCAGGACTTCATCTGGTACCTGGGGGAGGAGACTAATGGAGGGACAAGGCTGTTCTCCTACATCCCTGGGCTACCTCGGCCCCAGAGGGATGGCAGTGCCATGGGACATCGAGACATCGTTGGCTTCCCCAATGGTTCCATGCTGCTCCGAGGTGCCCAACCTTCAGACAGCGGCACCTACCAAGTGGCCGTCACCATCAACCCTGCCTGGACAATGAAGGCCAAGACTGAGGTCCAGGTGGCTGGTGAGTTGGGGGCGGGAGCAGCTAAGGATGAGAGGAATGCCATGTACAAACACATTTCATTTGGCCTCCTCATTCATATGCACAATGTGCATTGAGTGAGCACCTACTGTGTACCAGACTGTGGATTTCCCCGACCCTAAGGAACACCCCATTTCATTAGTTCTTCCCATATATTAATTATTCCCATATTTATATGAGCACCTTTTTTTTTTTTTCAAGGCAAGGTTTCTCTGTGTAACATTGGAGCCTGTCCTGGATCTCACTCTGTAGACCAGGCTGGCCTCGAACTCACAGAGGTTCACCTGCCTCATGCTTGGGTCTGATGGCTCACCCCAGCCCCTCACTGGGGGATTCTAGGCAGGGGCTCTACCACTGGGCCACACCCTCAGCCCCTCACTGGGGGATTCTAGACAGGGGCTCTACCACTGAGCCACACTCCCAGCCCCTCACTGGGGAATTCTAGGCAGGGGCTCTACCACTGAGCCACACTCCCAGCCCCCTCACTGGGGGAATTCTAGGCAGGGTCTCTACCACTGAGCCACACCCCAGCCCCCTTCACTGGGGGATTCTAGGCAGGGGCTCTACCACTGAGCCACGCCTCCAGCTCCCTCAGATGCTGCTAACTCTATCCTTGTATACATGCAGTGTCACTGATGTGACATTCTTTTGATTACAAGCCAGTCAGTATTCCACATTCAAAGAAGAGCGTTAAACCAGGCAGTGGTGGCTCACTTTAATCCCAGCACTCTGGAGGCAGAGCCAGGTGGATCTTTGAGTTCGAGGCCAGCCTGGTCTACAGAGCAAGTTCCAGGACAGCCCAGGGCTACACAGAGAAACCCTGTCTCAGAAATAAACAAAGAGGGCTTAGACCCTGCAGCTTGTCAGAATAGCTAGTCATAGCTAGAAAAGCAGGGAGTGGGAGACACTGTTTCCATCTGGGCTTTAGAAATTAAAATGTTTCACAGGCTCAGTTGATAAAGTCACTGTGGTCAAGAAAAGCAGCCTGTTGCCGGAGGGAGACAGTTCACCTTGAGGAGGAGACGGGCTCCCATCTGATGGAGAGTGATGAGGAAGAGACAGGGACTCAGAGCACCTTAGACAGCAGCCCCCAGCCTCAAGCCCTGCCTGGGTTGAGATGTAAGGGCAGCCTGATGACTGAGGCAGGAGGATGGAAAGTCCAAAGCCAGTCTGGGCAATTTATTGAAATCCTGCCTCAAATTTGCAGAAAATGGGAAGGAAAGGAAGAGAAAGTAGGGAAGAAAGAAATAATGATGGATTATTTTTGTTTTTTCAAGACAGGATTTCTCTGTATAGCCCTGGCTGTCCTGGAACTCACTTTGTAGACCAGGCTGGCCTTGAACTCAGACATTCTCCTGCCTCTGCCTCCTGAGTGCTGGGATTAAAGGCAGGTGCCACCACGCCCATCAAAGTGATTGATTTAAAAAAAAAAAATGATTTACCAGGCATCTCGGAGAGAAGGCTCACAGACAAGAGCACTGACTGCTCTTCCAGAGGATCTGGGTTTGGTTCCCAGCACCCACATGGCACCTCCCAATCAGCTAGAGTTCCAGTTCCAGGGCATCCAGTGTCCCCCTCTTGCCTCTACAGGCACGTGGCACGCACATGGTATGCAGACATACATGCAGGCAAGACACTCATACACTTACGGAATTTTCTCAAGTTCCAGCCCTGAGAAAATTCCTCCCAGAGTCCTGGGGAAGGCGCCACGTCAGGCGTGGGGTATCTGAGGGAAAGGAATCTACGTACACTATGATCTTTTGTCCGTTTACTTTATTCCTTTATGACAAAACTCTGTCTCTACAGCTTCAGTTCCGTCCCGAGTCTCAGCTCCTCTCTGTGCCTACTTTTTCTGTCCCCTCAAAGCCCTGGTAATAACCAAGGACACTTTATGCTTTTGGTATCATCTTCGTCCTCTGTTCCTTCGTCCTCCATCTATCCTTCCTGGCTCCTTACCCCTGGCCCTGATAGACTCTACCAGAGATCTGCCTTACCCTCTGACTTCCTCTCTTCTCTGACTGCCACTGTGACCTGCCACAGTTCTGTGACTGCCACTGGAATTCCACTCCAGTCCTTACTGCACCTGGTTATGCAAAGACCTCCTTTGTTCTCAGTCAATTGCTCTGGAAAGCCACTAGGCCTGAAGGCTAGGGATGGTCTGAGCTTGATTTGCACAAGAAGCAAAGCTGTGCATCTACAGCCTGTTTGTTTCCTAGGCTGGGGTGTGGGGGGTGGGGGGTTAGTTACCTAGAGGTTCAGCAGGTCTGAGAAGCTGAACTGTAGAGCCCCTGCCTAGAATCCCCCAGTGAGGGTCTGGAGGTGTGGCTCAGTGGTAGAGCCCCTACCTAGAATCCCCCAGTGAGGGGCTGGGGTGTGGCTCAGTGGTAGAGCCCCTGCCTAGAATCCCCCAGTGAGGGGCTGGGGGTGTGGCTCAGTGGTAGAGCCCCTGCCTAGAATCCCCAGTGAGGGGCTGGGGTGTGGCTCAGTGGTAGAGCCCCTGCCTAGAATCCCCCAGTGAGGGGCTGGGGGTGTGGCTCAGTGGTAGAGCCCCTGCCTAGAATCCCCCAGTGAGGGGCTGGGGGTGTGGCTCAGTGGTAGAGCCCCTGCCTAGAATCCCCCAGTGAGGGGCTGGGGGCGTAGCTCAGTGGTAGAGCCCCTGCCTAGAATCCCCCAGTGAGGGGCTGGGGTGTGGTTCAGTATAGAGTGGGTTGCCTAGAGTGCATAACATGGCACTATAAAGTAAATGATCAGGTGAGGACAGACAAAAGTCCTCACTGATACAATCCTCACTCCCAGGCATGCGCGAATACTCAGTCGGGGCACCTCTGCCTGTCAATGCTGGGATCATGGCTGCTGTCATCACTGGGAGTCTTGCTGTGGGGTCACTGCTTGTAGGTGGCATTGCCTACCTCCTGGTCACTCGGAGGCGGAAGGGCCGGAGCCCCAGGTACAGGCCCCAGATCTCCCTCTATGTCCTCCATCCCTTCTCCTTCCCCTCTAGACGCCTCGTTTTCCCCAGGCGTAGCGAGGGTCAGGTCATCAGGTGGGAGTCAGGAAGTCTCCAGGTTCTCGGGGTCCCCTTCTCCTACCCAAGCATCTCAGAGTCCTTTTATGTGCCCCCAGGATTCCAGCTACAGAGCAGCCAGAACTGAACACTAGTCCTGAATCTGGTAAGCCAGGAGCAAGTGTCTTTCCACCCAGCCTTTGTGTGTCTTCTCCCTCTCCAGTCCCACACAGTCAGAGCCCCCTGGGACCCTTGGACTCACTGAGGGGATTGGAGAGGGTTAAGGCCCTCCTGAACCTCCAGGGTCCCTGCTCCTAACAGGTGTCCTGCTCAAAAACCTTCCATAGCTCCCCCAGTGCCTGGGACAAACTTTGTCTCCCCAGTATGGCTCCCAGGTCCCTCCCGATCTGCAGACAGTGGGCTCTCTTTCCAGGCTCCTGCAAGCATCCCTCCGGCCTCTGTGCAGTTTTCACTTCTCACTGTCTCAGATGACCCCTCCTCCGGGCAGTCCTCCCTGATGTCCAGGCTGGTCCGGCACCTGCTTCTATGTTCCTAAGGCTCCCCCACCCCCCACCCCCTGCTCCCAGCCTTAGACGCTCTGGGTTGGCACTCTCTGGAGATGGATCTCTCTTCCCCCAGGGGACTTCGAGTACTAGGAGGGCACTGCCTGGATTGTCTGGGCCACCACTGTGTGCCCAGCACACAGTTGGCAGGAGGAGCGGTTGGCATGAAATGTTTGTTGAGTGACTGAGTGAAGTGGACATACAGGCAGAACGGGCCGACAGGAGCCTTCTGTCACTGAGGTCCCTACCTCCTCTCCTTCAGGTGACAGCAACATCTACGAAGTGATGCCATCTCCAGTCTTCCTGGTGTCCCCCATCAGTGACACAGAGCCAGTGACCACAGCCACGGTGAGTCCCCTTAGAGCTTGCTTCTCACAAGGCCCCTTCCCTGAGCGCCTGGGCACCTAGAAACCACAGCTCTGCTTTTCTCTCTCCAGTCAATTCGTTCTTTCTTCCCTTCCTTCCTGTGTCGGGGAGCGGTGTGGGGGGCACACGTACATGACAAACACATGGAAGTTCAAGGACAACTTGTGGGAGTCAGTTCTCTCCATCCACCATGAGGGTGCTGGGAATCGAACTCAGATCATCAGGATTAGCGGCAAGCACCTTGCCCCACTGAGCCCTCTTGCCGGCCCCTCTTTCAAATTCTTGTGTGTCTCTTCAACCCAGATGGGGCCCAAGGACAGCCAGGGCAAGGATTCCCTCCAAATCCAGCTAGTGGAACAGCTTCTGCGGTTACTTACAGGGTGTGGGTGACTCTGGAAGGCACACACGAGCGCAGGCGACGGCTCAAGACAGCCCTACAACTTGCAGGCAGAGCCACGGAAGAACCATGTTTCCTTAGCAACTGTCGTCCCAGCACTTGGGTGCTGGAGGCAGGAGAAGCGAGAGTTCAAAGTCAGCCTCCGAGCTGGAGGTCAGCCTGGGCTAGACTGAGACCCGGTCTCAAAACCCAACAGAAGTGGGGCGAGTTGGCTGGAGAGACGGCTCAGCACTTGCTTGCTACTTTTGAGGGCCCAAGTTCGGTTCCCAGCACCTACATCCAGCAGCTCACAACCAGCTATGACCGCAGCTCCATTGGACCTGATGCCCTGTACTGGCCTTCAGTGGGCAACCACATGCACATGGTGCACACACACACACACACACACGGACACACACACACACACACGGACATATACACACACACACACACACACACACACACACACACACACATGGACACACACACACTACATATACACACACATACAAACACCACACACACACACACGGACACACACACACACACAGGCACACACGCAGAGACACTGACATGTACATAGACACATACACATACACATACCACATGCACAGAGACACATACATACACCACACACACACATAAATACACAGACACACAAATACACACAGAGACAGACAAACATATGACAAAATCACACACACACACAGGCACACACGCAGAGACACTGACATGTACATAGACAGACACATACACATACACATACCACATGCACAGAGACACATACATACACCACACACACACATAAATACACAGACACACAAATACACACAGAGACAGACAAACATATGACAAAATCACACAGACACACAGACACATGCACACCCACAGACAGACACACACAGACACCAGTAAAAACTGAAATCTTTAAAACAATCAGGAGAACAAGGAGCCGGGCAAATGGCTGAGCAGCGAAAGGCTCCTCCCCACTAACCTGATGGCCTGAAAGTCACATAAAAGCCAGAGGAAACTGATTCTCAGACCTCTCTATGTGCGCCCTGACACACACGCCTACATACATAATATATATTCTTTCTCTTTTTCTTTTTTTCCAGACAGGGTTTCTCTGTGTAGCCCTGACTGTCCTGGATCTCACTCTGTAGACCAGGCTGGCCTGGAACTCACAGAGATTCCCTGCCTCTGCCTCCTGAGTGCTGGGATTAAAGGGGTGCACCACCACCGCCTGGCAATAATCTTTTTAAAAGGCAGACAGAGACAGAGACAGAGAGAATGTAAAAAGCTAATGATTTAAACTGAGCTAAGCACTAATGGTGAAACTGGCCAGCACCTGGGCACCCCAAAAGCCCTCATATGAGGCCCACTACCTAAGGCGTGTTGACCTACAAGGGGTAAGTTCACTACTCTTAGGGACTTCATAATCAGAGGGCCAGGCATGCACATCATAACGTCCGGGTCATAGGTTGGAGGGCATGGGGCACCCCCTCACCTGTACCCCTCCCTTGCAGAGCCGGCCTCCACTCCCATCCCAGCAAGCACAGCCCGAGAACCAGCACTACCAGGTATGGACTGGGGAGCGGCAAGAACCCCACGGAGCCTGGAGCAGGGAGGGTCAGACGGCCAGGGATAGGGGCTCCTCCCTCCCCCAAGAAAGCTCCCCTGAGGAACCTGTTTCAGCTTCCTTGAGACTGACCCCCTGAACAAGCCCTTTGCCTTCCTGGGCCCGGGCCTCTTCCTCTGCAAAAATGATCCAAGGCTTCAAATCTGTACGGGAGGAACAAGGCCCAGAGTGGGAAAGGAGGCTGCTCAGGGTCACACAGCAGAACACAGCAGGCCTCAGTGGAACCCCACTGCATGAAGGGAGCGGTTCTGGTTTGGCTCTCAAGTCTCTCCAGATCCCTCCTGGGTACCCCTAAAGGTGCCCTGTCTGTCTCCTCAGAGTCTGTCTGCATCCACCGGTGTTCTCCACTCTTCGGGGCTTCCTCTCTCTCCCTCCCTCCCTCCCTCCTCCTCTGTGTCAGCGCATCTCCCTTTTCCTGTCCGGCCCTGACCCTGCCTCTTATTTTGTGTCCATCTCTCCTCTCCTATTAGCACCCCTAACCCTGGGGCTCACTCCCTTTCAGTCTCCTGGTTCCGTTCTCTGCCTGTCATAGTCTGCCTGCCCCCCCACTCCCACCCCATCTCCACCTTTCCTGCCCCTCACAGTTCCTCTCCCCGCCCCGCTTTTAGGACCTACTAAACCCCGACCCGGCCCCGTACTGCCAGCTGGTGCCAACATCCTGACGGGCTCGGGGCCCGGCCTGCCCAGAAGACAGAACCTCTGCCTTCCCCTGACCCTAACCCTCAGGGCCTCCCACCTGCAGAAAAGACACGTGACGCCCACAGGCCAACGCCGTGGGAGCTGGCAAGATGGGGCTCGCCACAGCATCGCAGGGGGCAGGTGCCCCACGGCGCGGGAGACTGACCCCAACAGCCTTCAGCCTGTGCCTCGTGCACACCTGCCTAAGAAAGCAGGCTCCTGCTTCCCGAGGGCCAGGGTCCCCATCCATGGGAGAAAGCCTTAGGTCTGTCTGCATCAAAGGTACCCCGCCATGAAATCCCATCGTGCGTGGCTCAACCAGTGATCCGGAAACCCCTTCCTTGGGGAGAAAGCATTACCAGGAAGACGCGCCGAAGCAATGGTTCTCAACCTGTGGGTCGCGAGGGGGTCACCAGAGCAAAAGCAGCTGACCTAAGAAGACAGCCCTGGGCAAGCTGACCTCAGAATCAGCCACCCATAGGCCTGGGACTGCCTAGAACCCACCCGTGAGGGCTGGGGGCTTGGCTTAATATAAGAGCCCCTGCCTAGAATCCACCAGCGAAGGGTGTGGGCCTGGCTCAGCGGGTAGAGGCCCGGGTTCAATCCTCTGAACCACAGGTTAAAAAAAAAAAAAAAATCAGAAATCATCAACCACTGGGAAGAGATGAAACGGGAGGAATCTCTAGATGCTTGAAAGCTCAGGAAACTGCCCTGCCCTTCTTCCCCTCCACACACCTACACACACACACACACACACACACACACACACACGCCCTGACTCCAGAAGCACCCGGCCCTGTGGACTCCGGGACCACAGCTCAGTGACATCCACTTTGTACTCTTGATATCCACGATTGTAAGCTAATAAACTCGTGTTTTGTTTTGTTTTGTTTTCAAGACAGGGTTTCTCTGTGTAGCTTGGTGCCTGTCCTGGAACTCGCTCTGTAGATCAGGCTGGCCTCGAACTCACAGAGATCCGCCTGCCTCTGCCTCCCAAGTGCTGGGATTAAAGGCATGCGCCACCACCGCCCGGCTTAAACTCGTGTTGTTTTAAGCCACTGTTTGGTAGCCGTTTCCTCCAGGGAACAGGAAAAGAGGGTGCTGGAGGATCCCAGGGAGGGGAAGTTACAGCCCCCCCCCCCCCCCCCCCCCCCCGCTGATTGGCAGTATGCAAATGAGCTCCTCGGGGGACTTCCCCAGGCCTAGATCTCACACAACCGGTGCCTGGTTAAGATAGCCACCCAGATCAACCAAGTGGCTTCGGGGCTAGAGGAGTCAGCGAATGAGCACATGAATCAGGGCTTAATTATTTCTTTTAAAAAAAAATCTGCCGGGCGGTGGTGGCGCACGCCTTTAATCCCAGCACTCGGGAGTCAGAGCCAGGCGGATCTCTGTGAGTTCGAGGCCAGCCTGGGCTACCAAGTGAGTTCCAGGAGAGGCGCAAAGCTACACAGAGAAACCCTGTCTCGAAAAACCAAAAAAAAAAAAAAAAAAAAAAAAATCTTATTTTTTTGAGACAAAGTCTCTCTGTGTAGCCCTGGCTGACCTGGAACTCACAGAGATCCACCTGCCTCTGCCTCTGGAGTGCTGGGCGAAAGGTGTATGCCACCACACCCGGCCAAATTTATAATTAAATAAAAGATTTGGAGGGGAGGGATTTCCAGCAAATGATGTTCGAACCGTGCTCTTGCTCTCTGGCCACAGGTGGAATTGCACTTCCTCAGCCCCTAATTAGGATGCAACAATGATGCTTTGATTGATGAAATGCGGGCGGAAGCAGTACTTCCGGGCGTGCTATGACTTTCCCTCCCTATTCCTGTCCCAGTGACTGGTCCTGTCAGTGGTTCCTGAGTGAGCACACATAATTTTGACCATTGTCACACCTGTCTGGTGTGTGGCAGGCTCAAGAAATAAACCCTTAATGAGCCTGTGGGTAAAACCGGGCACCTTATCACTGTAGCATCACCCAGATCACCCCGACCTCAGATGAGGAGACTCGGTCTTCTCAACATAAAAACTACATTTCCCAGATGCCCTTGCAACTAGATCTGGTCATGTGGTTAAGTTCAAGGACAATCAAATGTGGACAGAAGTTTTTTGTTTTTTGTTTTTTGTTTTTTTTTTTTTTCCGAGACAGGGTTTCTCTGTGTAGCTTTGCGCCTTTCCTGGAACTCACTTGGTAGCCCAGGCTAGCCTCGAACTCACAGAGATCCGCCTGCCTCTGCCTCCCGAGTGCTGGGATTAAAGGCGTGCGCCACCACCGCCCAGCCAGAAGTTTTATAAACAGTTCACAGAGAGGTCTTCTTCCTTGACAAGAAGCAGAGAAAGTGGGCTTCTGGGGTGCTGTAGACAGCGTCACCACGCCAGTTAGATAGTAATCTAAACAAACAAGAAAAAAACTCCCTTGCTTAAGCCATTTCTCTAAGGAGTCCATTATTCCCAGCTTGCCTGCTTGCTTTTTTTTTTTTTCCCCCTGAGACAGGGTTTCTCTGTGTAGCCCTGGCTGTCCTGGAACTCACTCTGTAGACCAGGCTGGCCTCAAACTCACAGAGATCCACCTGCCTCTGTCTCTCGAGTGCTAGGATTAAAGGCATGGGCTGCCACCGCCTAGCATCCCAGCTCTTTTAAATACGCGTCCAACCCCACCTCCAAGCAGCACTTTTCTAGGTAAGGTCTTGAGTCTAAACATTCCACTTCCAGGGAGCCGTCTGGAAAATGAACTACAGTAGCCATAGGTTCCTCTTTGAATGAGTAAATTTATTAAGTATACACCAAGGCAAAGTAATTGAATAAATAGCAAGCTAGCTGTAGCTAGTAGAACATCATCAACTCAGATGCTCACACTGTCCCACAGGGGACATCAGGCATCAGGCAGCTCGGACTCACCTTCTCGCCACGGCTGGGTTCCTGGCTTCTCTTCCCACTGCAGGCACTTTTATATCAGGAGATAAAGCATAGTGCCCTGGGGCTGGAGAGATGGCTCAGAACTGAAGAGCACACACTTCTTTTCCAGAGGACCTGAGTTCGATTCCCAGCATCTATGTCAGGCAACTCAGACCTGCCTGTAACTTATAAAGTCACAGGCACATTCACACAATAAAAAAAATAAATAAATAACAATGTTAACGCCTTGGAAACAGTTTGCCTTCTAGCTGTTCTCAAGGACATGATATTTTTACTCTTAGGCTATTTTTGCTGTTCTTTTTCCTCTCTGTCACAGAGTTGTGAGGGGTAGCCCTTCCCCCAGACAAGTAGCCTTGGGGAGACACTTGGAGACAACATGCTTGGGTCTGAAATGTGAGGCAGGACCACCAGCCTCCAGCGGTAGTTCCTCAGCGAGCTCAAAAAGCACGTGATGATTTACCAATATAATGTACACTACACCTGGTCATCTCATAGTCCCCTCCCCTGATTTGAGACAGGGTTTTATGTCGCCCAGGCTGGCCTTAAATATACCCGATACATACCTGAGAATGACCTTACACTCCCCACTTCCCCAATGCTAATATAACAGACTTGTACCAACACACACTTCTCTGGCCTCATTACTGACAGAATTGTAATCTCCCTATTCATATGCAAAAGTCCCATACCAAATGTGACAAAATTTGAAGCTCTCCAGGACTGGAGGGATGGTTCGGTAGTTAAGTATGTGTGCTGCTCTCGCAGAGGAACAGAGTTCAATTCTCAGCACCTACACTGGGCAGCTCACAACTCCAGCTCCAGGGGATACAGCGCCCTCTTCTGGCCTCCTCAGGTCCTACACCCATATGTACAAACCCTCACAGAGGAACACACCTACACATAAAAATAAATCTTTAAAATCAATTTAAAAATCAACAGAACCAGTGACAAAATCCTGCATCTATATTTTGGGGAGTGAGGTGTGACCTCTGACCTCAGATTTTCAGAAGTCTTAGGAGGCTGGGTCTATTACCATTGCCACATTGTGACCGGAGACACTGAGGCTTGAGAGGTGATGTGACTGTCTCAAGACAGCGTGCGGTTGATAGAAAAGGGAAGGGTGATGTTGCAGACAGGATGAGCTGGATTTTGCTGCGGTAACAATTGGCCCGCTGCTGTCCCCGGCTTGAGAAACTTGTAAGGTTTATTATTTTCCCTTCCCACAAATTTGTCTCAGGTAGACAGGTGTGACAAGGGTCAGGAGAACTTGGCTTCTTGTGGACCTCTTCAGAAACCAGGCTGACAGAGTTAGCCATTGAAACAGGAAAAAGCAAGGAGCGTGCACGCGCCCACAGTGACTTAGAAACTCTGAGCTGGAAGTGTGGCTTCCACTCGCTTTTCATTGGCTGAAGCAAGTCACGTGGTACAGAGTCCAGTTCTGGGTGCAGACTGGGCAAAAGAAGAGGAAGCCTGGGAGCGCTGTATAAAGAGATCATCTTGGGAATCGAACCCTGATCCAGACCTTCTGACGGAAACGTCTAAGTATTTATTTATTTATCTATCTATCTATCTATCTATCTATCTATCTATCTATCTATTTATTTATTTATTTATTTATTTATGCTTGATTTATTTTTTCCCAGACTTTATTCATTTGAGCAGCCACTGGACCAGAGCGAGGAGGCGGCTAGGGGCCAGCCACGAGATTCGACAGGCCTGGTTGTGGATTGAATAAGGAGGGCTAGAGAGAAGGAGGGGGAAGCATCCGTGCATGAATTCCACAAGTATTTATTAAGCACCTACTGGATACATCACTGTTTTAGGTCCCAGGAGATGTCTATAATCAAAACAGAGACCTATTCCTTGAGGAGCCGACCTCCCAGAGACTCCTGGACAATCGGGCCGTGGGTACAATACCACAGAGGCGACAATGTTGGGAGGGGAAGCAGTGAAGCAAATATTCTTCTTCTTTTTTTTTTTTTTTTTTTTTTTTTTTTGGTTTTTCGAGACAGGGTTTCTCTGTGTAGCTTTGGTGCCTTTCCTGGATCTCACTCTGTAGACCAGACTGGCCTTGAACTCACAGAGATCCGCCTGGCTCTGCCTCCCGAGTGCTGGGATTAAAGGCGTGCGCCACCGCCGCCCGGCCGAAACAAATATTCTGACCACTAAGATATTTGTGCTTAAATATTCGTAGGCCGGCAAGATGGCTCAGTGGGTAAGGGCCTTGTTGCCAACCAAGTGAGGTTCGATCCCCGGTACCCACACATTGGAAGGAGGGGACTGACTCCCACCAGCCACCCTCTGAGCTTCGACATACACACAATAATAAATATGCGTAATTTTTAAAAAACCCCTGTAAAGAAAGGGAGGAGTGTGAAAAGCAGCCGGTCTTGGAGCCCGGAGCCTCGCAGCTCCCACGCAGCTCCAGCAGGGGGCAGCAGAGGCCAACAAACAGCCTCCAGGCACGAGCCCCTCCAGCCCCACCCCCGCCCCGGATTCGTCCCCGTCTGGACACTCAGAGCCCACTCCGCTGCCTCGGGCCAAAACGCCCGACCTTGGTCGGCCCCTGCCTGCAGCAGGTATGCCTGTCGCCTCCTAAACTTCAGCTTCCGTGTTCCTACAGCCCAGCCTGGACCGGGCAGCTCCGCTCCTCTCCACCTCCGCCTCTCCTGGTCTGTCTTCCCCTCCCTGCCGAGGACCAGCCCTCGCCCCCAGTGCCTTTAAATACAAACTTCTCAGGCCAGGCATCAGAGGACAGCCCTTTAACCCCAGCACTCAGGAGGCAGAAGCAGGTGGATCTCTATGAGTCCAAGGCCAGCCTGGTCTACAGAGGGAGTTCCAGGCCGGCAAAGAATACTTAGAGAGACCCTGTCTCAAAACAAACAAGCAAAGAACAAAAAGAAAAAAACAAACAAAAAACCCAAAATAAAAGTAAAAGTAAGTGACTATAAACTTCCCACAGCCTTCAAGCTTGAATCCTGGGGGATCTTTGGTCTCCTCTTTTAGTTACTCTTTACTTCTTAACCCCACTTTGTGATCTTCCTGCACCCCAAAACGCAACCTGGGGTTCTCCTCTCCCTCTGCCTGGAAGAATGCAAACGAATAAAAAGGAAAAGGACACAAAATGCGACAGTTCTTGGCCCAAAGCAAGTGTCAGTGAGGATGGGATTCCAGGCCGTGAAGCTCACTCAGCCCAGTAGCTTTGGCTGGAACTGGGCAGTGTCCGCCAAGCATCAGGATCTTCCACCAGGGGTCCCTGTCGCCCGCCTCGCCACTCCGGGGACACCCCCAGCTTCTGAGAGATAGGGGCTCCTTGTTGGACAAATGAGGAAGCGGCCCGGGGGAAGGAAGTGGGCTGGGCTCTGACCCAGAGTCGTTATGATTCATGGGGAAAACCTGTTCCAAGGCCACCTCCTCTGTGGGAGAAAGGGCCAGTGCCCGCTCAGCAGGGTCACGGGATCACCCAGTGTAGACGCCCCGAATCAGCAGACCTCCATGAACTCCCGAGGGCGCCAGGGTCTGTGTCCAGGCTTCACTGAGGACCCCGGGGGGACTTCATCCTGCCCCTGTGGAAGGCGACGAGCTGAGGTGCAGGTGGCCCTGGGCTGGAGGAAGCAGCTCCGCCATAGAGCACCTGGCCTGCGTAGACGCCCCCACTGCGGGCTCTACGGCTGGGCCACCCTTGCCTTTTTACTGGGATGTTCTAGTTTCCTTCCTAGTTGCTCTGAGAAAAAAACACCCTGAGAAAAAGCAAGTTTGGGGAGAAAGTGCTTATCGGCTCACGGCTAGGCTCGAAAGTCTAGGGTACAGGCTGCCGTGGCGGGGAAATAAAGGCAGGAACTGAAAACAGCTGATCGCATCACATTGCAGCAGGGAGGGAGAAATAAATGCACCGCTAATGCTCAGGGGCTCGCTCTCTCTCTCTCTCTCTCTCTCTCTCTCTCTCTCTCTCTCTCACACACACACACACACACACACACACACACACACACACACACACACACACACACACACAGCATCTCACTACGCAGCCCTGGCTGTAGACCATGCTGCCCTTGAACTCACAGAGATCCTCCTGCCTCTGCCTCAAAGGCTAGGGTCTGCTTTCTTTCCTCTGAGGCCAGCCTTCCTCGTTTGAAGTGAGTCCCTAACATGTAGAGACACTAAAATGATACCGTGGTTAGGATTTGCCTTCAAACACCCCCACCCCCCGTTCCCAGGTCCCAAGCCATGGGTTCCACCAACTATTGCCAATATATGCAAGAGGGGCTGGGAGACGGCTGATAAGTTCGAATCTCCATGCCCAGTTAAAAGCTGGGCTTGGCCCTCTGCACCTGTAACCCCAGGGCAGCGGGAGGCGGGGACAGGAGGATTGCTGGGACTCACTGGCTGCTATCCTGGCTCTAGATTCAGTGAGAGACCCTGTCTCAAGGGAATGTGACACCCTATGTCTCCCCCTGAGGGAGGGGTTGAAGCAGACACGTGCACCTGTACAACACGCAGAATAAAAATAAAATAAAATAAATGTAGGAAATAGCTCAGTGGAGAGACTGCTTCCTTTCTGAGGCATGAGGACAGGAGTTCAGATGTCTGGTATCAAGGTAAGAAAAACCAAGTGTGGCAGCATGTACCTGTAACCCCAGCACTGAGGCAGACAAGGGGATCCCTGGAGCTCACAGGCCAGCCAGCCTCATGGACGCGGTAGGCTTCAGGGTCAGTGAAAGACCCTGTCTCAAAGAAAATAAATGAAGTGGGCCGGGTGTAGTGGTGCATACCTTTGACCCCAGCCCTCCAGAAACAGAGGCAGGGTGATCTCTGTGAGTTTGGGGCCAGCCTGATCTACATAGAGAGTTCCAGGACAGCCAGGGATGCATAGTGAGACCCTGTCTCAAAAAAAGGAGGAAGAGAAAAGAAAAAGGTGGAGATGGAGAGGGATGGCAGAGAGCTTTACCGAGTGTTCAGGAGTCCCCGGGTTCAAAGGTTCAACCTCTCCTGTCACAAAATTAACAGCAGCCATGGGAGGCTGGGGAGACGGCTCAGGCTCCGTTTCCATCACCCACGGCCAGGGCGACTCACAACCATCTGTTAACTCCTGTCCTAGGGGATCTAGTGTTGACTCTTTCAAGCACTACCCACGTGTGGTGCACACACATACACACAAGCTAACCACCATGCACGAACAATACCAATAATGGTTAATAACAATAATAATGTGCTGCTCATTTGTGGGGGATACCTGATATTCACCTCTGGCTTCAGGTGTGCGTGTACTCCTGTGCAGACACACACACACACACACACACACACGGAATGCTGTGTCTCTGATGAATATGTACATTTTTGACTGTGGTTTTTTTTTCTTTTTCTTGCTGTGGTTCCCCTACAGCAGCAGCAGGGTCACATGACAGCTGTACCCACATGACACCCTTCGGTATGCTGGGTGAGTTGTTCGAACAGTTGAAAGCACCCAGGAGGCTGCGGCAGGTCTTGGGCCAACACTACCATTTATCCACATCAGTAGCACCTCAGGCTTTGGGTAACCATGCAGTTGATTCCATATCCAATCGCAGAGGGACACTCAGGGCCCTCTGCTAGCAGAGTAGTGGATGGGGCCGAGAAATGTGATTGGCTGTGAGCTGTGATGGGCACAGGAGTAGGAGGGATGATACCTTGTACTATGACACCATCTTCTATTTTGGTTAAACACATTCGATTTCCACAATAAGGTACTTTTTAAGATTTATTTTACTTACGTGTGTGTATGCCACATGTGTTTGGATGCCCTTGGAGGCCAGAAGAGGGCATCGGATCCCTTGGAGCCGGAGTTACAGGTGGCTATGAGCTGCCTGAGGTGGGTGCTGGGAACTGAACTCAGGGCCTCTGGAAGAGCAGCAAGTGCTCTTGACGGCTGAGCCGTGTCTCCAGCCCCGGAATGAAGGCTTCTTAAGTTCAGGTGGTGGTGCGTAGCTGTAACCCCAACGATGGAGGAAGCAGGGCTGAGGAAGGAGTTTGAATTTGAAACTAGCCTGGGTTATACAGCAAGACTCTGAAAAACAAACAAAAATCCCTACAAACACTAGCCTGCCTCAGGCCCTTTGCATATACTGTACCGCACATTGGAAAACACGCTTCCCCTTATACCCGCAGGCTCCCTGTCCCCTCAGTTAGGTCTCAGCTTACTTCCTCGGGCATCTGCTGACCTCCCTGGCTAGAAGAATGACCTGTGTCCTCCCTCTCCTCCGGACCCATTTTAATCTTCCGTCTTATGGTACTTTGACTAATCTTTCTCTGATAATATAGACATAATAGAGGACTTAAAAAACTGTTGCTCATGTCCCTCCAATAAGATTTAGCCACATAAGAGAACAGCTCTGTCCGCTGTCCACGTCCCTGGCGGTTCGGCACGGAGTCAGCACACAGTAAATATTTGCTAGGTTATTAAATGACTTGGAAACCCCCGAGCAAGGAGAGCAGTAGAGAGGTGCCAAGGGGTGGGAATGAGAGGCCCCTTTCTCCAACCCACCTGCCTGTCTGGCTGAGAACAGGGGTGCATGTGTGTGTGCCTGTGTGTGTGTGCATGCCTGTGTGTGCCTGTATGTGTGTGTGCTTTAATGTAGACCAAATTTAAAGTTTTGTATCTGCTAAACAAGTGGCGTGCCACTGTCTCAGCCCCTCACTGGGGGATTCTAGGCAGGGGCTCTACCACTGAGCCACACCCCCAGCCCTTCACAGGGGGATTTTGGCAGGGACTCTACCACTGAGCCACGCCCCCAGCCCCTCACTGGGGGATTCTAGGCAGAGGCTCTACCACTGAGCCACACCCCAGCCCCTCACTGGGGGATTCTAGGCAGGGGTTCTACCACTGAGCCACGCCCCTAGCCCCTCACTGGGGGATTCTAGGCAGGGGCTCTACCACTGAGCCATACCCCCAACCCCTCACTGGGGGATTCTAGGCAGAGGATCTACCACTGAGTTATTTTCCCATACCTCTTTTTACTTTTTATTTTGAGAAAGGGTTTCATTTCATTGTCCAGGCTGGCCTGGAATATACAGTCTTTCTACCCCAGTCTCCCAAATAACTGGGATGACAGGGCTGTGCCATCAGGGCTGACTGCTGGATGCTGTTTGCGGGGTGAGGAATGAAGGGACTTGGGGTCCTTTGAGCAGTCTAAAAGCCTCCCTGGCCCAGCTGGGACCTGTGGGATCTTACCTTCCAGCCCTTCTTGGGGAGACACACCCCCAGGTCAGGTTTACAAAATTCTGCCCTGTGTCCTCAGCTCCCCTACATGACAAGGGGAAAGGGGGAAGAGATTCTTAACCTGCTTCTGTGGGGTCCCCACCTAGAACCTCCCCAACACACTCCAGGTTTAGGTGGTGTCTTGACTAGGAGGGAGAAGGCTGGTCACTTCCAGCCTTGAACTCCCCAGGGAACTGGCGAGGTGGCAGATGAGACAGGCCTGGGGAGGGGAGCCCCACAAAACAAGGTCACAGAACTGTGTCCTCAAATGGCCCCAAAGGCAAAAGATTGCTCCGTGCGTGTGTGTGTGTGTGTGTGTGTGTGTGTGTGTGTGTGTGTGTG